AAGGTTGGAAGCCTCTCACTCCCCAATCTCAAAATCTACTACAAAACAGCCTGGTACTGGTACAATGAAAGATACATTGATCAGTGGAACAGACTCGAGAATCCAGAAATTTCTCCATCCACATATTGCCAAATGATTTTCGACAACGTGCCTTGGTATGTTACATAGGGAGGAGATAGTCTCTTTAATAGCTGGTGCTGGCAGAACAGGGAAAGCTATATGCAAAAGACTGAAACAAGACCTTAACCTCATGCCCTGTACAAAAACCAACTCAGCATGGATCAAAAACCTAAATATGAATCCCAAAATTATTAAAGTAATCAATGAAAAAATAGGGACAAATGTGAGAGCTCTAATACAGGGAAAACACAGACTACTAAACATTTTGAAAACTACACAAACAAAAGTAGACAAAATAGATGAGTGGGGCATACTAAAAATTAAAAACTTTTGTGCATCTAAAGACTTCACCAAAAAAGTAAACAGGGAACCCACAGAATGGGAAAAAATATTTTGCAACAACACATCAGACAAGAAACTCATTTATAAAATATATAGGAAACTACAGCACCTCTACAAGAAAAAGACAAAAACCCAATTAAAATATGAGCACAGGCCATGAACAGACACTTCACCAAGGAAGAGATCCGGGCAGCCAACAAACATATGAGAAATATTCACGGTCACTAGACATCAGAGAGATGCAAATCAAAACAACAATAAGCTATCATCTCACACCAGCAATAACAGCAAAGATTAAAAAAGTAGAGGACAATAAGTGCTGGCGAGGATGTGGAGAGACTGGGACGCTCCTGCATTGCTGGTGGGATTGCAAAATGGTCTAGCCTCTCTAGAAAGCAATATGGCGCTTCCTCTGAAGGTTGGAAATAGAAATACCTTATGATCCAGCAATCCCTCTACTTGGTATTTACCCACAAGAAATACGAGCCATAACACAAGTAGTTATATGCACACCAATGTTCATAGCAGCACTATTTACAATAGCAAAAAGATGGAGACAGTCTAAGTGCCCATTAGTTGAAGAATGGATAAACAGGCTTTGGTACATACACACAACGGAATACTATGCCATCTTGAAGAACATCAAGGAAGCTGCAAGCTACCGCATAACATGGATGAACCTTGAGGACGTTATGCTGAGTGAAAATAGCCAATCACAAAAGGAGAAACACTGCATAGGACCATTATTGTAAAGGAGTAAGAAAATTAACCCACACTAAAAGGGGGGAAATTATATATATATATGCTGATCACCAAGATGTATGGATGAGAGGAGGGGAGGGAGGGGAAGATAGAGCACAGGCTAAGGAATAGACACAGGATAGCTTGGGGTGGCGGGGGGAGGCAGGGAGCAATACACAAAAAGGGGTAGGGGAATGGAAGAACAAGACTGAAGGGAGAACAGTTAGACAGCTTCACGTGGGCTAAATGGGACAAAGGTTAATGATGATGTATGCACAACCTTGGAGCAACAGGGCTCCAGGATACAGGGATTGAGGCACGGTTTGAAGGGTAAAAGAGGGGAATAGTGTTAAGATGCTTGGCTGTCTTTTGAATCTGGTTTCCCTTGCCTACCATTGGGGTTGGGGGGAAGGGGGGTATCGACAGAATCATCCCTACAGAAAGCTTGTAAGTCCATCTTCAGTCTATAACTGATTGGAATACCTTAAAGGGGGCTAGAAGTTGCCCAGTGAAAGAGGCTTCCTGTGGAGCCTTTACATTGCACAAGACCATAGGTGGAATCCAGAAGCCCATCCAGAAGCCCATCCAGAACTGACAGAGGTAGGAAATGTCCACTGGAAAGGACAAGCAGACCAGCCTGAAGCGGGTAGAAGAACAGAAGCTACTTCGTGAAAGAAAGACTGGCAGGAAAAATCCAAAACAATAACAGCAGTCTGAGTGATTACTACAAGAACAAGTAAGCTGTTTGCCTGAGAGCCATCAAGGTAAGTGGTCAGGACCCCTGAGAGCAAACCCCCTTCCAAGACTGAGACTCAAGAGGAATACATGAGCAGGCCTGGCTGGTGACCACGCTGGTCACCGATAATGGAAGAGGGTGAAAAAACAGCAATGAAGAGGTGAGCTGAGCCCAACCACATACAATAGACCCCCATGAACCCGGGTGAAGATCTGGATGGCCAGCAGTCCAGCAAGACCCGGGGACTCCTGGGCCCAGAGGCAGTGACATGACCCAGAGGACTAGAGCAAAGAGTGAAGCGTCCAGATGATATGAAGTGAGGGGAGATACATAAGAACACCCATACTTGCAGATAGTACCCACTTGACCTGGCTTCATTGGCTGGATGATCAGAACTCGATTAGAAGAAGAAAGAAGGGGGGGGGGGGCGGGTAGAGGAAGAGTGACCGGCTACAATTTGATGAACTTTACCTATACTTATGGACGTAGTAGCTCAAAAAAAGGAATAAATCTTTACAGCAAGGATCACTCCCACATGCTTGGTACACAGGGCTGACAGGTATGGACAACATAGACATAGGCTACCAAAATGGGGAGGCCTATAAAGGCAATAAGTGGCTGGCTTACAAGTTTTCAAGAGGGAGCCTAGTTCGAGATGGGGTGGGGGAAGGTAGAATCACCCCTGAATGATTTCCAATCTGAAAGAAAATGGGGATAAGACTTTTGTGGTACAATGGTGAATACTAGCCATCAGGTCTGACTGTGAGGTTAAGAAATGTAGAGGTAGATGTTTTTTGACAAAAGGAGGAGAGTGATTTGATTTTGCAGCCCAGGAGCGGAGGTCCCTGGTACCATCAAGTGAGAAGAGTGGAGAGCGGGACCCTGCCCAGAGAGGCAGTGATGCCAAGGATGGAGACAGAGAAGATGATGTGGACAGATGGAGTGGCTGGGGACACTGGACTCAGGGCGGAAGAGGGGCTGTGTGCTGGTGGCCCAGGGGGAGAGGGTGGGCCTTTGTGGTATACCCTTTGGGGTTATATGATGATGCACGGAGGGGACTGTAATCATCGCAATGACACAAAATATGATGGGATGAGTGTGGAGCTGATGTTCTCCCATGTAAACCTCACAATAAAAACTTAAAAAAAAAAAAAAAAGTCAGTAATTCAAACCCACTAGTTGTTCAATGGGAGAAAGATGTAGTAGAGGGTCGATGAAAACAGAAGGACCACCAAAGAGATGGATTGACACAGTGACTGCAGCAGTGGGCTCAAGCATAGCAATGATAGGATGACACAGGATTTGGGAGTCCTAATGTGGTTCTGTAGGATAAGCACTGAGCTGCTAACCACAAGGTTGACAGTTCAAACCCACCAGCTGCCATGAGTCAGAAATGACTACACAGCACTTAACAACAACAACAACATGGCACAGGACTGGGCAATGTTTTGTTCTGTTGTACATAATGTCACTATGAATTGGATCTGACTCAAGGGTACCTAACAACAACTACACAAATCAATAAGTTATCTGTGATGCACTTTTTTTTTTACAAGTAGTTTTTCCAGTCACCTGTATGTACCGGATATTCACCGTCTTCTACCCTCCCATCTTCCCAGCTATTATTTTGAGCTATTGTTGAGCTTCATTAGATAATAGGGGAAACTGTTGAATTACAGAACGTTTCTCTAATCAGAAACAACATTTTCTCAAGTCCTATTAAATATGGGGCCCCTGAGAGATACCTCAATGTCAGAGCCGTTGCCATTCAGAGCTTCGATGTTTGGGCCCCTCCAGTCTTCTGGTAGAGAAGGGATGTAATTGTCTGTCAGAGCATCCCAAACCCTGTAAACAAAGAGAAGCTCTCATTAGCACACATCTGTGGCCCAGTCTTGCATGGAGGAAGAGCCGGCCCAGGGGAGGAGAGAGCCTTCTTTTTATGTGTGCCAGGCTGAGATCAGCTGCCTTCCAGGATTCATAGCCAAGTAGCTTAAAATGGATTCAGAGGCACTGCCCTGGGGAACAGAGATCCAAAAAGATAGAGCTTGGCCAGGGACTTCAGTGTAAAGGGGTCCCTGAGAGAAGAGGAATTCCACACTATGACACAACCAAACCACCAATGGGCCTATGACACAACCAATACCCCTTAGCCAAATAGTTCATGTTCTATGAACCTAAAAAGTGCCCATACATTTCCTTTCCTATGGAAAGAGAAGAGTTAAAAGAAAATCTGGGGAGATTTTCCATCTCATTAAGATTAGGATCATCAGCTAATTTACATACATTTCAAGAGATTTCCAGCATAAATTGTCATGAATTAAAACCTTGATATCTAGTAAGAATAGGGGATAATGCCAGTGCTATGGCTTAGTGTTGACTCTGTAGGATAAGAATTGGACTGTGAACCACAAGATCAATGATTAGAGCCCACTAGCTGTGAGTTAAAGATGAGGCTTTTTTCTCTAGCAAAGATTTATAGCCTTGGAAACCCTATACAGATTCACTAAGACTCAATGGCACTTAACAACAACATGACTTACTTTATTTACCTTTCCCCCCAAATACTGTAGTGAGGTTGAGAGTGGCACAATCATGCCCTATAGCACAGCAGAATCTAAGTGCTCCCTGTCTCCATCATAAACACTCTAAGGCAAATATATGAAAACAACCGATAAGTACACCTCTATGTACACAATTAGTTATAGTAGGAAAGAATAAGGCTTCTTTTATGAAGGGACTTTGAAATAGTTCTTAGAAAAAGCTGGAATTATCTTTTAATTCCATTTTCCCACAAACTTTTTAAAGCCCATCAAATTACATTTATATTTAAAATTCTGATATATAAATTATAAAGTGTTTTTCCACAATTCTTAAAGCTTAACTCACTCACTTAAGAAGGATTTCTTTGAATTGTTGAATTGGTTATGTTATGTTATACACATTCTCAACAAAACAAAAAATAAAATAAATTTTAAAAAATAAGGGTAATTGGGGAAAAAGAAAGGCATTAAAGAAAATTCTGAAGTTACAAACACACATCAGGAAAATGCATAAAATGCATAAACACCGAGAGATTAATGTAAATCAGTAAACAAAACTTAAGCAATACTATCATGTAAGGCACGTGAATTAATATTGTTATTGGGTACCATGAAGTCAGTGCATTAGAACAAAATACTGTCAGTGCCTGCGTCACTCTCACAATTGTTCCTATGTTTGAGCCAGTTGTTGCAGGCAGCCATTGTGTCAATCCATCACATTGAGGATTTTCTTCTTTTTTAATGGCCCTTTACTTTATCCAGCATGATGTTCTTCTCCAAGGACTGGTCCCTCCTGATAACAAGTCCAAAGGAGTTGAGATAAAGTCTTACCATTCTGTTTTAGGGGGCATTCTGGCTGATTTGTTCCAACACACATTTATTATTCTTCTAGCAGCCCATGGTATGTTCAATATTCTCTGCCAACATCATAATTCAGAGGCATCAATTCTTCCATGGTAATCTTTAGTCGTTGTCCAGCTTTCCATGACTTGTGTCAGGCATACCTTAGTCCTCAAAGTGACATCTTTTTACTGTTTTTTTTTGTTTTTGTTTTTTAACACTTTAAAGAGATCTTTTGCAGCCAACTTGCCCAATGCAAAATACGTACATCATTTGATATCATGACTACTGCTTTCATGGTTGTTGATTGTGGATCCAAGTACATGGAATCCTTTAAACTTCAGTATTTTTCCATTTATACTGCTGCTGCTTATTGATCCATTTGTGAAGATTTTTTTTCCTTTGTGTTGAAGTGCAATCCATAATGAAGGCAATATTATTCAATGTTTATCTGTAACTGCTCGAAGTCCTCTTACTTTTCAGCAACTAAGGTTGTATTATCTGCATATCATAGGTTGTTAATGCATCTTCTTCCAGTGCTGAAGCTACATTGTTCTTCATATAGTTCAGCTTCTCAGATTATTTGCTTAGGATGCACAGTGAATAAGTCTGGTGAAAGGATACAATTCTAATGGACATCTTTCCTGATTTTAAAACATTCAGTGTGTACCTCCTTGTTCTGTTTCAACAACTGCCTCTTGGTCTATGTACAGGTTCTCCATGAGCACAATTAAGTGTTCTGGAAAGCACATTCTTTGAAATGTTATCTATTATTTGTTATGATCCATAGAGTCAAATGTCTTTGCATCGTCAATAAAACACAGTTTTCTGGTATTCTCTGTTTTCAGTCATGAGCCATCTAACATCAACAATGATATCCCCCATTCAATGCCCTCTTCTGAATCCAGCTTGAATTTTTGGCAGTTCCACAGATCTAGTCGATTTAACTTTCATATATTTCATCCTGAGAGGTCCATGTGTATCATTGCTATTTATGCTGTTGAAAAAAGTATTTACAATGAATTGGTCTTGTAAAATTCTGTCATATGATTCCCAGCATTGTTTCTATCACCAAGGTGTTTTTCAACTATTGATCCTTCTTCTTTGTTTCCAACTTTCATATTCCAATTACCAATAATTATCAATGCAACTTGATCAATTAAATGATCAATTTCAGGCTGCAGAAGTTGCTAAAAATCTTCAATTTCTTCATCTTTGGCATTAGTGATTGGTGCATAAATTTGAATAATAGTTGTATTAACTGGTTTTCCTTGTAGACATATGAATATTATCCTACCACTGATATTGCTGTACTTCAGGATAGATATTAAAATGTTCTTTTTTACAATAATGCAACAGCAATTCCTCTTCAATTTGTCATTCCTGCCATATTGAAAATCATGATTTTCCAATCCAGAATAACCAACAGTTCATTTCACCTCATTAATGTCTCTGATATCAACCTTTATGCAGTCCAATTCATTTTTTATTTCCAATTTTCTTAGATTCATAGTTCATACATTTCATGTTCTAATTATAGGGATGATTGCAGGCCATTTCTTCACATTTTGAGTCATGATACAGCAATGAATTAAGGTCCTGAATACTTTACTCCATCCACACCATTAAGGTGGACTGTACTTTGAAGATGACAGCCCTTCTCCTGTGATATTTTGAGTGTCTTCCCACCTGAGAGGCTCATTTTCTGGGACTATATCAGACAATGTTCACTGCTATTCATAAGGTTTTCACTGGCCAATTTTTCAGAAGTAGATCACCAAATTCTTCTACTTAGCCGGAGAGCTCCACTGAAACCTGTCTACTATATGTGACCTGCTGGTATTTGAAATACTGGTGGCATAGCTTCCAGCAGCACATAAGCTACCACAGTACAACAAACTGACAGACAAGAGGTGGAATATCATAAATGAGGGTTGTATGCCATCTCCATAAGGTTAAGCATTCAGCTGCTAACTGAAAGGTCAGCAATTCAAAATCACCAGTTGCTATGAGGTAGAAAGATGTGGCTATCTGCTTCCATAAGGATTTACAGCTTTTCAAGAGGAGTCTTTTATACCTTGCCTAGACAGAAGCCTTTGGAAACTCAATGGGGCAGTTCTACTCTGTCCTATAGGGTTGTAAGGAGTTGTAATTGTTTTCTCGTTATGCCATCTCCTTCATGGGCCTATGCATCTGAAACACATGTAAATCAAAATATTTAGATACACTAGCATAAATATTTTGGGTCCTGGTGTGGTGCTGTAAGATAAACATTGGACTACTAACTAAAGACCTGTAATGCAAACTCACTAGCTGCTCCTCAGAAACCCTATCCAAGGTCATAATGAGTCAGAACCGACTTGACAGCACATAACAACAACAACATAAGTATTTAAATATACTAACAATAGTATTTAAGGAGCTCTGGTAGTGTAGTGGATACGAATCAGGCTGCAAACCTTAAGGTAAGCAGTTCAAAGCTACCAGCTGTTCTGAAGGAAAAAGATGAGGCTTTCTGCTCCCGTAAAGATTTACAGCCTCAGAAACCCTATACAGGGTTGCTATGAGTCGGAACCGACTCCACAGCACATAACCACCAACAACAACATTAGTATTTAGGCATACTTCTTGTTGTTAAGTGCTGTCATAGCGACCCTGGATAGGGTTTCTGAGAAGCTATTAGTAGGTTTGAACTGCTGGCCTTGCAGTTAGGAGTCTAGAGCTTATCCTACAGAGTCCCACCATAAGAAAATGGAGTCCTGGTGTAACCCTGATAAGCACTAAATTGTTAACCACAAAGTCAGCAGTTCAAATCTACCAGTAGCTCCTCAGAAACCCTATTCAAGATCATTATAGCCAGAAACTACTCGACAGCACTTAACAACAACATAATAGTCATTTGAAAATAAGCAAATATTTGTTAAATGTAAAACTAATGATCTGCTCTGTAAATCTTCACTCAATGAAGATTTTTTAAAAGAATTATTAAGAAACTCAAATATGAATACTTGTAGATCAAATTCAAAACTATAAAATATGTAGACAATGTCAAGCACAAATGCAAAACCATAAAAACCAGAGCACAGATAGTTGAAATCAGATACATGCAATGATGGAGGGAAGAGAGACATTTCTATAAATACAAAATCAGAAATTATCTGTGATATATGGATAGATAAACAAAGAGATTTTCCTCATGCATGCAATTGGTGATGAAACAAACAAAAGGAACCCAAGAAAGCACAATTTAACAGATGGTTGAGGCATCCATTTTTTCTTTATTTTCCTACCATTTCAAGACAGCACTTTTAAAGAACACCCATCAAGTGCTCATTAGCAAAGTTTCAGAGCCTACTTCTTAAACCATGGGTCATATTCCAATTTCCACCAGGCACAGCAAGAGCTACATTAATTCAGGCTAATTCTAAATCCCCAAGCTCCATTAGCATTTAAAGCCAGGAGGCA